GCGGATAGGCACAGGCACGCCTACTGGCTGTTGTTGCTGTTCCTGCTATTACTATTACTCGTGTGTCTAGGGGTGTTTTCTAATCTGTACCATCTGCACAATCCTACTCATCGTTGTCTAGGGGTATCGTCTTAACACTGTACAATCCTGTAACCGTCAACCAATAACCGTTGTCTAGGGGTGAGCTGAAACTTTACCAACTGCTGTGGTCTAGGGGCATTAACTGATCGACTGTTTGCTGGAGACCCACCAGCCCGTTTGTCCGAGTTGTCATACTGCCCGTGTTCCCACATTCGTTGCCCAGCCTCGAGAAAGAACGTGTAGGTATACGAACTAAATATGTATTGTATTAACCCGCGAGTTGCTGGGGGGGGGGGCGTTAAACGCCCCCACTTTTTTCGCCGGGCCATAGCATAAAAACGGCGCGCCGCAGGCGCGCCAAATTTTGGGTACCTGTAGGGAATTGATTGAAGTTTATTGTGACAAAGTTTCAAAAAAATCGGTCGGAAATTTTTTGAGATATCGAGGTTTTAGTGACGTCATGATTTCTGAGTTTTCGACCAAAAACGGCATATGTTCAAAAAATCATATAAAATCACAGAATAGACATACAGACATGCCGTAAACGCCATTAGACTGCCAATACCATGAATAATCAAATGGCTATCTTCGATTATTGATTATCGTTCCGCATTTTCCATAATCTTGAACTGAATCTTGGCAATTTTTCGTGACTACTTCACGACCATGATACATGAATTTCTTATATTGAACTTTTTGAGCCAAACACGAACACATATGATAAAATGAATGTCACTATCGTGTTCTACGCCCCAAATTACCTATTAAACATGTGTCACAGGCTGCGAATATCAGTTTTGATTTTCGGGGATATGTGCCTACCCGGTTGACCTGACCTTGACCCTGACCTATGCTTGACTGACCCCTACATGGAGCTGACACTCTTGTAGGCCTTATAAGATGGATTGTGCACCGTTTTCAAAGAGTTTATGGCGAGAGGCGCCCATTGCGAAGTCCTGAAGTCCATGCTACTGAAAGCCCGATTTCAGGTGTTTGACCTGACCTTGACCCGACCTGTGACCTCAAAATTCAACTTTAAAGTACTCATCTGAAGCGTCTCGTCGCGCTCTTTCGTTTGCCGCCTCGTGCGTTTCGCTGCGCCTATTGGTTCTCGAGTTATCGGCTGGGGGCGTTTAACGCCCCCCCCCAGCAAACGGTGGGTGGCGAAATACCCCAGCAACTGCCGGGTTAAAAGCCGAAACGTATAAAAGATGAATGAATCAAAAGACGAATGAATAAGGCCGAAACAAGTCGAACAACAAAAAGCCAAAGTGAGCAGGGTCACGGTAACCGTGCCTTGCTAAAATTGCCAAAGTGCCAAAACCATTTCGAGACCATCGAAACAAGAATCAAGCCAAATAATAACACCAACTGAATATCGCCAAAGGGTAGAACTGACCCAGTACAAGCCAAAGATGTTTGCCAGAAGAGCCGAAATAAACTGAGTCATGTTCCATGATACAAGAACCATCATGTTACACCTTAACTAGTCACGGTACCGCAGCCTTAACCTACAAGCAAATATCCTACGCAAGTGTGTGTACGTGTGTGGCGGTGCTTGAGTCGTAATTTCGGCCGCGGCAGCGGTCACGAACAGGACAGAGGCTCACAAACCCTCTCAATCCGCCGGTCCTAAGACCCTTGGAGACTAGGGTTTGTATAGCCAGAGTCCAGCCCGTGCCTTTCCTCCAAGGCCGGAACTGCCCAAGTACTTACATGATCGCAAAGAAGACCACACTGCGTCGGGACCTCGGGCACGAATCCCTCGCCCGTGCGTCACACGCGCCTTTTTATACGTTTTCACGCAGTCGCAAGGCCGGCCACCTTCTAGCCGGCGGCGAGCTGGCGCGGCCGGCTGTCTGTGTACAATATCGCTATATGTCGCATATGTGTTTTGCTATTTTTGCTAATCTATCAATACCGCAGAGCATTCACAGATAATAGCGCAATCTAAGTCATTGCATAGCAATCTGCTTATCGATTGCACAGCGTTAACTACATATTCGCGCAACTTCTGAAGGCCTTATTTAAATACAAACACCTTATATGATCTAAATACCGTCACCATGGCAAACGTCACCTAACCAACTTAATTACCTATTAACTACCTTGACACACTGAACTACCTATGGCATATCTCAATACACCGACACTGGCATTACACCACCGCACCTAGTTATGCGTTTTGCTAAACATACTAACTCCGCCACCGAACGTAACTATTCTAATATAGCATGGACAATAAACACACGGCCAGGACGCTCCTAAATGTACAGTCCTTATCTACACACTTGATGCAATTAGCATCAATTCTGCGCGACCATCACCAATGTAGAGGTCCACCCAGGCTCTACACTGAGAGGGGTTTAAACTGAAGGAAGGTTTAATCACGCTGCACTGGTGTCCTTTTTTTATAGTTGTTTTCACTTTTTGTTGATACCGATACAAATGCCGGCTGGCATCATACCAGAATCGCCCAATGTCCGAGTCGCTCTTCTCCGCATCGAACCACGCATCGCCGCGAACACTGTCACTTGGGATCCCTCGCTGTCACTGCCCTCCATTGCACGCCAAAACTCGCCATGTCCGCAATATAGCACTCAGTAACCTCCTCACGGTATTCGCGCAAGTAACACCAATCGGTCTTCCGATCTGGCCTGCCTCTCAGTCCCTCAGTTGATAGGAATATATAAGATGTGTCAGACGTTGTGACACTGCTAGGGCTGCATGGATAGCTTGCATTATCCCTGCCCGTCTTGCTAACGATCACTGTGACCAGCGTCCCTGGGTGTGCCCCACGGGCACAGTCCGCCGTGAACTGCTGCTCGCTATTTGGTATCGACATTGCTGCCGATCCCGACCTGTCGTCATCTGTTGATAGCAAGACATGCACGCCTGCAGGTTCTACAGCTGTAAATAGAAGCATAGTCACCCTTCCCTCCCTGAGACCTGTTATCGTAATGCGGGGCGGTAGCTAAGAAATATGACCAGGCTTTTTCAAACGCTCTTTCTTTTGGGCAGTATATCGAAACGTTACTTTGCATCGTTGTGCATAAAATGCTGCAAAAGTTGCTCCAGGTGTATCTTTACGTTATTATGCGTTTCACAAGGTTTCATATGCTAATGCTAATGGTCCCCGGCCCGCGCCGTCCTTCGCGCTTCTCCGCCGTCATTCCGCTAATCCCTGAGGGTGTGTAAATCTAAACATACTGAAGTGCACATTTGCCCTGGAGCTGCCGCGCTCGCCGCCTGTGAGGTCATAGGTCAATGGGGATTTGAGTGTACATGCGATTATGGAAATGCTTCGGGAGGGGGCCCAAAAAGGGGGGGGTGTCATCGGGGGGGGGGGGGAGTCGAGTCGCTAACCGAAGTTATAGTATCTTCTTGAGCGGTATTATGGCGTTTTAACCGTCTTTTCCACTTCGGTTGGGGGGGGGGGGCAGAGTAAGAGAGGGGGTAGAGTATGGGAGGAGGTCAAGGGAAACCGTCCGTTCATGCCGTCTCAGAGGGGGGGGGGGCGTGTGTGGGCGAGGAAGAGAGGGAGAGAGAGAGAGAGAGAGGGAGAGAGAGAGAGAAGTGGGCGGGGATGGATGGATGAGGCCAGGGATTTGGTCACCAAATAAGGTGAACGATGAGTCGAGGGCGGATGGATGATGAGGGGAGAGGAAAGAGAGAGAGAGAGAGACAGGGAGATGAGGCGGCCCAGGCGGTAGTGGCGAAACCGCCACGTCCACCCGTCGTTACCTTTGAAGTCGTTACCTTTGAATGCTCTATGCGGCCGTATTGCCCTGGTGCGAGACCCGCTGATGTGATCAGATTTCTCACAATGTAGAAACGCACCAAGACGTTCACGGAGAGCCCACCCATAACAAACTATAGTCAGCATATATAGCAGCAGGGGTGACGTACAGGGCACAGAGGTCATGTCACATCATGTTGTACAACCTGTTGTTCGAAAAAAACAGATCAACATTGATTTTGAAAAACTGTAGCGCTTTCTTCAGACTTCAGTCACTTAGGTAAGCTTTCTCACAAGACGTTACATTAGATTCACCACTCTTGACAAAATAATCAGATTGAAACTTAGCTCTTGTGCCTGATGCACTTACATTTCAATTTATTGAAATAAAACACTCAAATTTACCCTTGAAAATTGTTGACATTTAAATGATATTAACATCAAGATTTTGATGATCAGCAAACAAGCTATTCAAATCACACCCATATAATAACTTTGGCAATGTTGATAACTCTTGCTGTCTTATTGAAAAGCAAATCTTCAATTTGTTCATATCCAAATCCAATGCCAAGCACTGAAATCTTGTTGCAAGGCCCTAAAAACAACAGACAAAAACAAAACAGTCTTGTGGAAAGCGCCAGTGCGGTGCGGCGGCCTTGGCGAAATTTCCCAAGGCTGCTCTTTGTTTACATTTTAGCGATGGGCCAACTTGGCCGCCCAAGTACTTGTTTTGCGTGAGTAAGTACAATTTTTTTAATTTTGAAACGGCTATATCTCGCAAATTTTAGTACCGATTTACATTTTATGCATATCTTTAGAATCGGCAGAGTCTGGGGAGTTCATTGATTGGAAATTTATGCCGATTCCTTTCAATTTTTAAACCCTGATAATCCCTTTAAAGGATATTAAAGCAGTTAATTGAAGAAAAAGAAGATGTCTGGCAAATATACTGATACTGCATGTATATGTATGTCAGCCATTCATATATTATATCTACATTCGAAAATCCTTCAATTCTGGACATATGCAATTGTATTATTATATGGCTTTGATTTGATGGTATCCAAATGAGCTATTTTTTATACAAATACTAAATTAAAGCTAAATTTTTACAAATAACTGTCTAATTATCTACCTAAGTGCCTTCCTCTTTGAAAAAAATATGTAAAAGAAAATGTACCATAAGTCTCACTGGTATTAAAGTTTTGATCATTGGCTTGTACATAAAATTAACAGTGTTGCTTGATGTATCATTGTTATTGTTGCACTTGCTTGTACTAATACAATTTTAACCTTCATTTACCATCACTATGATGCATGTTTATTTTGAATGAGATGATATAACTGGTTGTCTGAATCATATTGTTGTATGAGCAAATGTGGCTCTACAGTCCTTGAATGTATGCATGCGGGTCATAACAGTGAACTTATTCAGGTTTTGGTGACTGGTCACAGGTATGCAATTTAGAAGCAAGATATGTGTTGAAGTGAAGATAGTCTGCATTGAGATAGACTGCATTTTGTGATTGAAGGTCAGAAACACATTGTTGATTGGTAGTGTGCTTCTGCATGCCTTGAATATATATTCATTCAACAGCAGTTTGCATGCTCCCATAGCTAGCAAATGTGGCATGCTGAAAGTTGATTTGCCTGCATAGCACAGCCTAGCTAGTTTTTGCTGATGATTCAGTGATCAGTCATCTAATTGTGATTCAATCATGTAGTTAACAATTTTTGAATTAATTGCAAGTAATGCTTGTATATTTTTGTAACAATATAAACCTTTTTCCTTTTTAAGAAGCTGTAACCAACAGCTGCTGTTATCTCCAACTGCAGATACACAGCCAATCCAGAAAATGATATTTGTGATAATTTGGCTAGCAAGTCTGCAGCTAAGAGAACTTTGTGCCCACTTATTCCTACGATTTAGTTGAGTGTGTTGAAAAAGGAGCACTTTAGTCTTTAGCTAGATTTCCAGCTTTTCTTGGTACATCATAGCTGCTGCAGTCTTCTTTGCAAGTTTTTGGCATGCTCTTCTGCTGTTTTGTAGTGTAGTTTACGGCTGTGTAACTTTGTAGCTCTGTGTGATGTTGTGCCTGGCTGTTGACTTTCAGACAAGTGAACGGTGACATGTTGGCTGAGGGGTGATACGGCCATGGTGGTGGGCCTCGGCAAAGACCGACGAGCCATCGTGACATGTGGCCTGTCAAGGACGTGTCGATGATAGAAACAGCGTGACATGTCAAATATTGGTCCATATTAGAAACAGTGTGACATGTCGCAGACCAGTCCATGGAAGACACAGCGTGACATCCTGGGACCAGTCCATGGTAGACACAGCTCGACATGCTTAGGCCGGCCATGGTAGAAGCAGCGTGACATCTTCAGTGGAGGCCGCTAGATCATCATCGGTTAATAAGGGTTACAAAGTGAAGCACCTATTGATAAGCATATGCATTTGACATAATACAATGTTTCGTGCCGTCATTGTACGAATCTTTGACTTCTCGACCGCATCAAGTTAGGTATGCGGTAGTTAATTGTTTTAACGATTTTGGTGGAACATGTGGTTATAGTTAGTAGTGGTCCGTATCCTTGACGGGTGACAAAACAACATAATCTAAAGTGCAACATCTCGTCAACTACTCACGTCAACTACTCTTTTACTCGTCAACGTAAAGCGGGGTTGACGTACTCTTTTAGCTGGGGTAAAGCGGCGTCACATCTGAACGAGGATCGGCGGTTTAAAGGGACCCTCCCACCTTCAAAAAAGTTAATGAATTGGCATGAAAGTGATGTCGCTCGGTTCAGAAAGAGCAAAAACGAATATCTACCAAATTTCATCGAAAAATATTCACCGGTTTTCAAGATATTAGACTTTTACTTTTGTTTACTTTTTGGGATCTCCGCTGTTCCTAGCGACTTTATTTGAAAGTGCGGCATTTGTTGCGCGCAAAGCAGCATATACCACCGCGTGCTACAAAGCGTTTTAGTCAAACATTTAACGGACGTTCGAAAGCCTGATGACGTCATCAGATTCCCGTAATGGTTAAGAGATAGGGACCACGCTGGTCCCACCCTGCAAGTAAAGGGAAGAAATTTCTTGAACACCATAAAGCTGCGGGGGTTGCGACCAGGATAAATGGTGGTTTCTGAGCCTGGCCGCAAACTTGGCTATCTCAACTCAAAACTAATGTTAAGGTGGGAGGGTCCCTTTAATGTCTAGGGCTGGCGACTCTAGGTAGGAACTTTAGTGAGCACTTACAAATAGATTGTATGCCATCGCAAAATTAGGCCTCGAAACTCGCAATTAGGACTGGCAGCTCTTATTCAGAACTCCCACGATTTTGCAATAGCGATGATTGCGGGACGACACGCTGGTAATTAGTCTCGTATTCAGTGGAAGGTTTTCGATAGTTCGATACTGGTGTGGACCTTTGAATAGTGAATACTGTACACTGGGCAGTTGTGCGTCTCGATGTATAGCTTCAAATCGCCACCTTGTCAGCACTTAGTGCACCTGAGTGCGGCAGAACGACGGCAGAACGACGGAGGAGGAACGCTCGTGCATCGGACGCCACTCTTAACATGTTCGCAGAGGTTCAAGCCGACACGCTGACACAGGGTATGCACTCTGCAACACCTCTGCAGGACCCTGACACGTTATACTAGCGGGAATCACGGGACAGAGGCATGCGTGGGAAATGTGTGTAATTGTCTCGCTCACCACTTTGTTTTTTAACAGAGCATCAGCCATCATTGGATTCTTCCCGTCGATTCTCGTATGATTTGTTATCCATCGGATAACCGCCTATAACTGTGCGATTGTGCCTTCAGAAGTATTTTAAGAATGCCGACTGATTGTTCAGGTTGTACTTATTATTCAGGCTATAACTGATTGTTCAGTTTCAGGTTCAGGTTATTTCAATAAAATATGGTTGTGTTTTTATTTCGTGATGCGATTACGTTGGTAGTAGACTACGGGAGGTAAGAACACCACCGCCACCTACGTGGGTCACTGGAAGAGTAGTTCGCCTAGCGTCCGACAGAGTACCGCCCGGGGCTTCTCCGGCGCTGTGTCGCGAACAGAAAACCCTGTAACCGGTGTCATGTCGAGGGGTAGGGCTCAAACCACCTATGGTTTGTCATGAACTTCAAATTAACGGCTTTTTGATAATTGATAATCATGACGTAACCATTTGGTAATTTTAGCTAAGTAATTTTTGACTATGTAATTGTAGCCGTAACATAAACCATGTTATTATGTTAGGTGAGGCGAGGTGACCATAATATTGTTTCATAGGCCGACCGATTGCTTTTGAATAATTTTCAGTAACTGATAAAATTACACGATCATCTCATGTAAACCGTTTACAAATATTATATTTTCGATATGTGATGAAGGGTCAGGAAAGTTTTACGACATTCTCGTTACAAGTCTGCGAGACAAGGTATGCTCTGTGTAGGTAAGGTGAAGGTAAGGTATGCTTTGGCTGGACAATAGGCGAGGAAACTTCACTGGTTTATAAAGCACAGGCGGGATAAAACATGGATAAGAAAATGAACAAGAAACATGAAGATTCGTGAAGCGGCCCACGGACGGGTCGGACGAGCCGTGCCATAAACGACTTCTATTTACCATATCCGGCGATTGCAATTTGCTTCCCACATTTCACAAATATGGCATTTTAATAGGTGAATTCAGCTCCGTTGTTACCGCTCGAATGTGTTGTTCTGTGTCGAAATATACACTTTTGGACAGATTGTGCCAACGAGCGAAAGTGATGCGTCTCATTTTCCCTTACCAACCGCAAAGAGAGAGAGAGAGAGAGAGAGAGAGAGAGAGAGAGAGAGAGAGAGAGAGAGAGAGAGAGAGAGAGGGAGAGAGAGAGAGAGAGAGAGAGAGAGAGAGAGAGAGAGAGAGAGAGAGAGAGAGAGAGAGAGAGAGAGAGAGAGAGAGAGAGAGAGAGAGAGACGGAGACGGAGACGGAGACGGAGACGGAGACGGAGACGGAGACGGAGACGGAGACGGAGACGGAGACGGAGACGGAGACGGAGACGGAGACGGAGACGGAGACGGAGACGGAGACGGAGACGGAGACGGAGACGGAGACGGAGACGGAGACGGAGACGGAGACGGAGACGGAGACGGAGACGGAGACGGAGACGGAGACGGAGACGGGAGACGGAGACGGAGACGGAGACGGAGACGGACTGGCACATAACAAGACGGAAATGTTCATTCCAAAACGCGTTGTTGGACGTGGATGTCAAGCTGTCGGCCTGAGGTCAAATCTTACAATACCTACGCCGGCTAATAAGCTATCTTCACTAACATTGGCGATTACTTTGATCATTCGATTGCACGGAAGGGTTTTTTTTTAAGATCTTATTCTTACGCTTGGCTCCCAATTGAGGTAGAGATTCGCGGGAAGAAAAGGCAAGAGCAAAAAAAGTTTGTGCGCTGTTCTCCACGAGAGTCAGCCAATGATAACCGAGTTTAAGATTTCAAGCGAATCGCTGCTCTTACAGGTTGGTTCAACCACCCTGAAATCCGTTCTTTTGCGAACAATTATTCGAACAGGGTGGCAGAACAAAAGTATTGTTACCAACACTTTTTGTTGTTAGGTCACATCAGTTGTGCCAGTCGAAACTTTTTTGTCAGCTGGAAGTTTACCTAAGTTCATTGCTTACGCTAGTTGACCTCAAATGACCTCGAATGACCTCGACAAATAGCGAGTCATACCTATAGGTAATGTTTTTCATGGGTGCTCCTCTGGAGTTACGTCGTTTTTGCTCCGGAACGATTATGAGGCGGAGGGCAGCTAAGAAAAGCGAATTATGCTATATCTAACGCCTAAACTGAATCAAATAATTTGCACTTCTGCAATCTGCATCCTGCATAGCCTGTGCGCCTATGCCTACAATATACATAGCCGCCCTATGCTTATGCATGACTATCATACATGTCTTTGACAGTCGAGGCAACCTCGGATCACATCAATAAGGACTCAAAGGATATGCATTATTTATGTAGGTAGGCCATATAATCTGATGTAGGTAGGCATTACGAATTAACCCACGCCGTGCTGGGACTTCGGAGACATTTTTACGTCCCCGTCAGGGTTTTCGCGAATATCTAAAAAAAGTGGCGCGCAGCTCTTTTTGGCGCACCTGTTCACACATCTTTACTGCATGTATTGTCAAAATTTCAGACCCGGGTCGTTCATGGTCAGATCACCAGGTCACGTCAAGTGATCTTACCTCATAAACAGTTTCAATGTTCCCTTTTGCTACACCGACTGAACGACCGCTTTGACACTTTCAGCGATTGATAAGTGTAACAAGTATGTGTTAAACTTTTATCTAGGAATTTAGACATTGGCTACGTTTCCATGGCACAAGCTAAGCCGATTTTGAAAAATGGATTTCCTCAATCATAGCATTTAGGCATAATTTAAAAATGTAAATATAGGATTAGATGCGAGCTAAAACCATATGTACGCTCAATTTTTGCATAAGGTAAATAGTTTCCGAGAAAAACACACGTGACATTTCGCTAAATCGATTTAGACGTGTCATGGAAACGTAGTGATTTTGACATCTTTTGGATCAACGTCGTTCTAAACACTCAAGTCTCAAACATCAATTTATGAGTAAAAATGACACATTGAATCGGAAAATTGCATCTTTGACCTCTCCTTGTGCCCCTGAGGTCATCTCAGGTCATGAAAGGCACCCAGCAGTTTTTTGACAATAACTTTTAATAGAGACTTGCTACTGCTTGAGCGTTGAAAGCACCTCATATGTTCAGCTCGACGATACGGATCGAGTAATATGCAACATGAACTTTTTCCGGTCAGGCCATGACCTTGACCTGAGGCTAAGTTTTCACAATGACCTTTCAAGGTCTGATTATAGTTGATTCGACGCGTCTCAACGAGGGGAACACGATGCTGGCAAAAGTACCTAATGTCAGTCAAAAGTTATAACATAAAACTTTTTTTCTCGTAAAAACGTCTTGGAGAGTTTTTTCCCTCTTGAGGCTAAACCTTTGACATGAAGTCAAATAGGATTTGTTAGCAAATAGCGTTGAAATTGCTATCGAATGCACTTTTCTGCGGCGCTGTAGCTCTGTTGGATCCCGAGTTATGTGCCGAATTTTCGAAAATTGTTAAAATAGGCAAAATTTGACCTTTTATGACCTCTGGCGACCTGACCTTTGACCTAGGCTAAAAAATGACCGAAGTTTTTTCTTCACTTTATAAACGCATGCTCGTTCGAATGCCTCAATAACCGCGAGCGGCTGGTGAAACTCGTATGCGACTTTTAGTCCTAACAAATATCCGTAGCCGTCGTTTTTGTTTGCTTGCAAAAGTGGCCTGGAAGACGAAGACCGCTATTTTCGACCCAACGTGATCTAAAATATGGCGTCAATGTTGCATGGTAGGTTGAAAAAATAATAGTGCAAGAAAATAAGCATCCAGGTCAGAATCGGTTACCTGACCCTGAATGAAAAAAAACTTATGCGTCGGAAGGAAGTCGTGTGCTTGCTAATTAACCCTCGCCCTGGCAAGGGGGGGTCGATGCGACCCCCCCTAAGGTTTTTTGAAGATAGCGTAAAAACGGCGGCGCGCAGCGCCGCCAAATTTGGCACAGCCTATAGGGCAACCTTTTTACATATGACCTGAAAATTTCAGGTCCGAGTGACCTAGGGTCAGGTCACCAGGTCAGAAAAACCGGTACAAGGTCATGGTCAAATTTCAATTTTCTTTTTGCACCTGTCCAACTCACAGTTTTGGACTGATTTCCTTCAAACTTTCAGGATGTGCTAAGTTCACCGAGTTGTATAACATATATTCCGTTTTTTTTAGGTCACTGACCTGAGGTCAGTTAGAGCCTAGAGGTCATTACGTCGTAATGTTAAGCCTATGGGAAAATACTAAATTCGGAAAATACTGGAGATATCCGCTTCGTTCCATCACTTTTGTGCTTTGAAACCACAGTACTTAACAGCAGGTCACTTGGTGCTTCTTTGTTTGGTGTACTTATCCATGGGTCAGGTCAAATGAGGTCAACTGAGGTCAAATGACGTTTTTGCCAATAACTTGGCACATAATGACGCTAGAGCTTAAAAAAATGGTATCATTGTGTTCCAGGTGATCAGCCGAATCGAATGGTATGCGATATGATGCAATTTGGTTAACTTGAACTTAATTTATTAATTTAAGTTTACTTAAAATTTAAGAAAAACTTTAAGTACACTTAAGCAAGCTAAAAAGTATATCATTCGACGCGCCTTGACGTGCTGAGTTCTCTGGTACTTTTTTTTTTGCTCTATCTTAATTAGATCAAAAGTTATAAGCGAAAAAACTTTTGACCTGTTTTGAGCGAAATTTTTACATTTATACCCCCCAAAACCCCCTTAAATATTGACCTAGAGCAACCAAATTTGCACAGGGGCGAGAACTCCAGGGGACCCACCTACCTACCAAATTTGGTGTTTCTAGGTGCCATAGGAGCCAATCGCGAGGGGGGGGGGGGGGGGGTCGCATCGACCCCCCCCTGCCAGGTCGTGTTATGAAAAATGCCCTGCCAGGGCGAGGGTTAAAATGTGCTCGTAAGATATTTGCACTAAACCGTAAGGGGTCCCATGAAGACATTCAGTGCCGTTTGTGGCCCTTACATAGACACTGATTTTTTCTCTGACACTAAACCATAAACCTACGTGTGAACTAAACGCGCTCCTTTTTGTCCGACAGGGGAGTCGGGTCACGGCCCTTCAAGGATGCCTATTAGGCAGCAGGGTGAGTGCACAGCTGACCACACCTACACAGTCACGGGACACCCTGGTGAGCCCCAGGCTGTCTTAGATATGGCATGTGGGAGCACCTCAACGTGTTGTGTTAGAACGGTACTAGGCTCAGCGCTGGTCACGGAGTCCCAGTTGCTCTGCTCCTACTCCTGGTTGACTTGGCTCGGTCTGTTTAGACTTTAGCTGGTTCGAGGGACTGTATGGCCTCTTGACTTAGGTACTGAGGCCCTTTGTCAGCTAGGAGCACATGGCCCTGTGTCGATGGATGTGACCCTGTGTGGGTGGATGTAACCCTGTGACGTACTGGGGTTTGATCATGTCTCGCCTATAATAGGCCAGTAACCGGCTGTGTCGGCCGTTGTGGTAAGATCCTATGACGACTGTGACCTCACCCCCTCCTCTGCCGTCTCTCAGACACATACCGTGCCCTGGAGCTGCTCGAGGAGTTCCGATGCCGCCTGGCCGCCCGGCCAGGCCAGCAGAAACTGGCGGCTGCCATCGAGAAGCTCATCCTGGTCTGCAACTCGCGGCTCTTCCAGGCGCTCATCGGTGAGTGTGAACGAGAATGTTGCACAACACTCCTTATTCCGACCACCAAAACGCACAACAGACACACAGTTATCCATGAATGCATTGGGTAGTCGCCAGCTTCTCTGCCCTTTGATACAGCGTGACATATTGACGGCATACTTTGTCTTTCTGATGCAGCAGCTCGTATGACACTGCTGGACTCAGGTGTTACCGGCGATGGCATGCCCTCTTTATCGCCATACCGTATCGATATTGCTGTTTTTTTTCTTCTACGCTTAGAATACGACTGGTTTCTTTGGCTGTCTTTTTTGTAACGGCTGAGCGGCTCTGTTGTCTATATACATCGTTCGCATGTATATTGATGCGAAGGATGCGCAAATAATTTTAACCTTTTTATAATATCTGGACTCAATAGTGCGTGTCCTTCCATTGAAATCATATTTTCGGACCCCTGAAGCTATTTTATGTTAATATTTTACGCCATTCGTCTGTGTCCTTCGCCGTGTTTTCGGCACACTGTGCGGCCGATCCGCCGCGCCGGTGGGGACGGAGAGTACGCGACGGGAGGGGAGGAGAGAGGGGCGGGGGAGTGTCCGGGAGGGAGAGGAAGAGGAGCAGCACCGGCCCGAGGCCCTGTGACGGCCGCTAAAAGCCTCCTGGGTGGACGGAACCGTCGACGACGGGAGGAGAGGCCAAGGGTGGCCCTGGTCGCTGTGACCGAACTATGGAAAAGCACGAGTCGGCCCTCCCTATTACATGATGTGTCCCTATTAATGACATTAGCTAATGAAGGTTGCGTTGTGGGATCTCTTTTGACTTTATGGTGCAAATCGACGGTCATGCTACTCAGTATTCATTATGCCAATGGCGTGCCATGATAAAAAAAACTTGATCGAACGTCTTTTGGAACTGGGGCGCAGGTGCCACCGAATTCTAAATCGAATTACGTCAGTAAATGTACGCGTAGACCGGCTGCGTTCATGCTTCCCGTTTTTCCATTACATGATAATTTTTACGCTAGCAACTGGACAAGTTCTTTTTTGCATTTTATGCACACTAAAGTGATTCGTTCTGCGCGTGGTTTGATTTAGTTTTACGTCATTAATCTCGCGATCGATCTTCTGTTTATTTTCGGGTCTCCCGTGGAAGCAGCGCCCCTCCCTCTCTCCCAGTCGCCTCCCGCTCTCCCCCCGGCTCTTGTAAGGGTCGTGATGGGCTGTCTGATGGGTAGGAACGCGCCGCAATCGATGACATTCTGATCGCCGGTATTGGGCGCCGCGGATCAGCCTCTCTGTGGGGTGTGTCGTCCTCCGTCTACTGGCGACAGGCAGGCCGTAATCGTATCACTGGCTCAGGTCATATCGCATCAGGGATACAGGTCACATCGAACTGCCAATACTGGTTAATCCATATGCGCAAATCACTGGCACCAGATCGGCAGTATCGCCTGGTCTGAGGTCACACTATAGCTACATATCACTGATGCTACATCGCACCACGGATACAGATCAAAACTGTTTGTCACATTTTATCACTGTTACAAGTAACATAACATCCCTGGATGGGAAGTTTTTTTTTATAATTAAGAACTCTTTCATCGGTGGTCAAACCACGTATAAATTTAGATTGTAACACTGACGAAAATTTTAATTTGCGATATTCACGATCTGTCTAATACAATTGTTGTCCTCCATTCCAATAGTACGTTTCAATGAGAGGCATTTGCATTGTGCAACACTCCAGCCGGGGGCGTCGATTCCCGGATGAATCGTCTCCCTGAGCCATGGTACGGCCGGGTGTGGGCGTTGTAGGCCGCCCATCGGTCAGTTTGCCCTGAGAGGTGGTCCACCCCGCGCACTGTGCGCTCCGGGAGGGCGGGTCACATCGTCCGACTGGCCTGACGTATGGACTGCAGGACAGGCCGGTGGGGGGGGGGGGGGAGTGGGGGATAAGGAGGTGGGTAGACAGGGCGGGGTGAATGGGAGAGACTAGGCAGGTAGATGGTCTGGAAGGTAGCGAGGCAGGCGGGTGGGATTGGTGATATGTGCTGAACAGCTAAGAGTATGTAGGTAGGGTAGGGCAATTGTTAGGCGATCGGGTAGACAGGAACAATTATTCAGCACACATCTGAGTAGACAAGACTGGATTCGCCGAGTGGACTGGTAATCAGACGATAGCTGCACAAATACCCGAGTAGGTGGGGCAGAGTGGACGTCAGAAAGGCAAGAAGGTAAACTGGTGTGGACCACAGGAAGGCAGGCAATGAGGCGGTAGCCAGCAATGTAGGTGCGCCAAGTTCGCTGGCGGATGCTTGTTGATCTGGCCTGAACATCCGGGTCGAGTGTCGCGTGTCACTCGGCATTCCTATCGGACCGCCCGCTTTGTGGCCCAACAAAGCCATGAGAACAGCTAATGGGACATGAATGCGGCCCACACATCAATACCTAGGCATGCAGAGCCGGAAGGGTCCTGGCTGGGGGCCAACCGGATAGCTTTCCTGGAGATGCCAGCGAGGGGCGGACGCGCTCTCCAGCTCCCTTCGCTCAGGAACTGCGCCTCACTCTGTTGCCCTCCCCTGGCGCGGGGCGGGCGCGTTTTTTTTTTTTCTGAGCGCCGTGGTTCGGACACCGAGGACCGTCTTCATGGGTCGTCTGGCTGGACGCCGCCGCCGCCGATGCGTCGTCCTCGGCGGGGCGGCGCTTCTCGATCGGCCGACGGCTCATTTGTGCCCCAGCCCCGGGCCCCATCGGGCGGGCGGCCGGCGGCCGGCGGCGCTCGCTTCCTGCGCTGCTGCCGGCCCGTTTCCGGCGGCCCGGCCGGCCCTGTCCGTCGGATGCCGACCAGCTCGCCGGCCACTCCTGTGAGGTCATGCGCGCCCGCCTTCCGACAGCGGCGTCTCCGATCGGCGCTCACTGCTGTGGTTGGCGCCGGACCGGTGTTCGCTGTTGGTGGAACGATCCCTCCAGGACGACCGGTAGTTTATCTGAATCGGGTCGGCGAACCAGCTGGGTAAATATGTGGGGTGGAATTACACTCGAACTCATAGGCGGCGGAACGGGGAGGGCACCGGGGCACCGTGCCCCCTTTGCTTTTGGCATTTTAACATTAGCCCTATGGGCGTTGAATGGAAAGAATGGGAGCAAAAATCGGCAGTGCCCCCCCCCCCCCCTTAATTGAAGGTGCTCCGCCGCTACTGCTCGAACTCCGCGTTCAGCGCTTCTCTGTAGATGTTCGCGGGCACAGCGAGCCGCGTCAGCGCGGTCGGTGCGCTCGCTGTACGACAGGAGGCGATGCCATGTCCGCTGATAGCCACTGTCAGCTGTCGCTAGGGCTCCTCTCCCGTCATAGAACCATCTCGGCGACGCTCGCCGTCACCGACCGTGACGACGGTCATTTCTGTCGCGGCGCTGTCACAGGGGGTCGTTAGTAGCACATTCTGCGTAGCTCAGCACATAGCCTCGGATGGAAGCTTTCGGCACCAGAGGAAATGGTGATTATTGGAGAATGACGCGATCAGCACAGCCGTGGCACACTGGTTGTCTCACGGACAAGCGAGACACATTGGAAGTCAAAGGAACAGGCCGTCCTGTTACTCTGACTTCCGTGACATCAAAGACAATTCAACAACCTCTGTTATACGATGGACGGAGGCAGTTCTCTGAGTTCCGTCATCGTTTTATGTAACTACAGTGTCCGTTTCCCGTGACACGATGCGCCTGTCTTTCGCCTGAAGTCCACGAATGCTTCCTCTACAGACGTTGACTCGTCACTCGGCTGTTGCCGCCGCTCTGCTCTGGATTCTGTGGAATGTGACCCGTCGGCAGGCCGGATGTGCGCCTTGGCCGTCCGACCCGACGCGACCCGCCCCAACCCGCCTCGCCCCGACCCCCAGCCCAGCGGGGATCGACGACGCGTTTACTGACCCTGACATTACTCGGACCGGTCGTTTACCCGACTCGGTGACACACTGTTTGTCGACCGCCTGATTTATCGTGGCGACAACGACAAACGGAGCTCGCACCTACGAATTAACACCTCCCGGTCTCAAACCTCGCTCAGTGAGGTTTTTACGGTTTGGTGGCGGGTTAAGTCATCGTGTTTGCTGTGGACGTTTGGTGGCGAGGCCATAATGGCGCTTTTGTCCGATGGTGAATGTTTGTAGGAGAATCGGTGGCGAGCTGTCAAGCTCGGTCGCTCTGTGTTGATAGTGGCACTGCGAGGAATAGCTGCTAGAAAAATGTGTCATGCTCAATGTTATCTGAGCGCGAGTTCAAACGTCAGCCGGTTCACAAAATAAACCGGGGTAACCTAAACACGTCCGCTCATTCTTCCGTCAGCAATTCGGCTGCACATTCCCGAGGTTTTTTCCCAACAAAGTATAATTTATCCCAGTTAGTTGCGCAGTGGTGACCGAGCTATTCAGCTAATTCCGCAAAATGGTTGATTCTGAACGATCCTCTCCAGCTTTGTCCCAATTTTTTTGGTTGCCAATTCATTCTACTTGAGCGGCACTGATGGTATTGTTAGGATCGACGTGATTATTCACATCGGGAAGTCATCCGTATACAAATATTTGATGAATGTCTGATCGCTGAATGGAGACGTTTGGCCTGATCTGACTAGGATACCGTAATGTGCTTAGAAGCTTTAGAACATATACACGATGCAATGTAGGTATATTCACTTCTAGACACAACACATATCTTTCCACTGCTCACTCAATTCTTACTTTCCAGTCACAGCTGCTTCTTAGTTGTAAGTAAAAATCAAACGTCGTGCAATTAATTTGCATTGAAACGCTTTTACACAAAACAATATGAGGGGCAACCTGATTTCAGTGGAAACATTTGTGCAGTGTTAGGGTTGCCAAGTTTAAAAAAAAATGAATTAACTATATCGCAAACCTAATCTAATGAGATAGTCCCAAAGCGAGTATATCTTCTGGACGTAGCTCTGCCTTCGGCCGGTCTCCGACCGACTATTGGTCAGCGGTCAGCCCACGACGACAGGACAGGGGCCGGGCTGAGGGTGGGGGAGATATCGTCGGTCATATTGGCAGGCTCGGACTGGGCATCGGTCATCGGTCGGCATCGGCATCAGGGGGTAGGGGGAGGGGGCCGCTGCGTGCTCGGCGCCGGGGGCGGGGCGGGGCCGGCCGGCGCCGCTGGCACCCTCCACCGCCCTGATAAATAGTGGCTCGGGCCGGGGGACGCCAGTCGCGCGCCGGCCGCCCCCGGTCAGCCAGCTCCGCCGCCATGGCGCTGTTCGGCATCATGGCCTGGATGCGCGAGAAGACACAGGAGTGTCCTCTGTGTGTGGACGAGCTGCGGGCCAACCGCGCCAGGAAGCTTTCAACGCCGTCAGCGCGGCGCACCAGCACAGGCGTGTCGCCGGCGTCCGCGCGAGCTGCCGCTCTCTGCGAGCGCCACCGCCGGCTGCGGAAGCGCAGCGTGCCGGCCGCGCTGGAGCGGCGCCGCGGCTCCGACGGCCGCTCGTCGAGAAACAGCAGGTCGCGCCAGGACTCTGAGGCGTCCGAGGACGCCGGCGCCGACGACGGGTGGCTGGATCGTCGGGGACGCCGCCCTTCTGACTCCGAGAAGTGGCGTGACTTTGAGCGCTGGAGGGAGTTGTCGGAGGTGTGCACGGCGTCGCGTAACCGCCGTCACCGGCGGAGGGCCTCTGACACCCCGGAGGCGGGCAGTCCTAGCTCGGGTCTGGTGCCGGTCGCCGGCGACGGCAGCAGTCCAGCGGCACGGCGACTGGCCGGAGACGGCGGCGCCCGGGCCGCGCCCCGTCCCGAGCAGCCTCCGCCGGCCCCCCGCGGAGACAGTCCGCTCTGGTGCCAGACCTCCTCGGCGACCTCCACGAACTCCGGCACTGGTGACGACTCCGTGTACGAGCTGAACGCCGCCATCGCCGCCGAGTACAACCGCGTGTTCGCCGGCACGTTCGGGGCGGCGCTCGGTCCCACTCCGCCCTCCGTGTCGCCCCGACCTCAGCAGCAGCAGCGGCTGCGGCGCCGGGAGGCGGGCGGCCGGCGACTGTCGCGCAGTGAGCGTCAAGCCCGCTCCATCTCCGTTCCTTGCCGACCGGCGTCCCGATACCTCCAAGAACACGACTCGCCGGCCGGCTGTTCTCTGCCGGGGTCTGACGGCGACGCTCTGGTACTGGCCAACGGACCGCTGCTGCTGGCAGCCATCGATGACGACCCCCTGTGCACGTGTGAGTGCACCTGTGAGTACGACTCTGTGCCGGAGGCGGGCGGCGTGTGGCCGCCGGCCGTGCTGGCCGCCAGCGAGCTGCACCGTCTGGACCGTCTGAGTCTGTCGGAGCCGGCGGCGGCGCGGCGCGGAGTGGGGCCGCGCCTGCTTCCTCCGGAGCGGAGCGGCCGTGCCCGGCCCCCGGACGTGGTCAGAGGTGAGCCGGCAGACGGCTAGCGGCGCCCTCCGCCCCGCGCGCGCATGGCTCCGTGCCCGCGTCCCGTGGGAGCCGGGCTGTGACGGCCGGTGGCGGACGGGCCGCTCTTTGAGCGCCGCCGACGCCGGGCCACCTGTACCTAAATGGCTCCGCGGCCTTTGTATTCAGTTGATGGTGGGTGACGACTGCTGGCATGCCGGGAGAGCTTGTGGTTCGGAATGGTGATAATGATCTAGTTGGTATGCTATTTATGCAGTTTCATGTGCTCTTTACTGCATCTTTTGTGGGCGGGTCGCTAAGTGTGATGGATTAATGGTCTGTGACAGTGATGCTGTTTATTTGACAATAAATGCACTACAATAGTGACAGCATTTTTGGCCTGGGCATGGGAGGACGGCAATTACGTGTTGTGTATGATAATATTGACGTTTGCCAAAGTTACGGAGAGCGGCGGTCAGGCAAATAGTCGGCGCTGCTCCCGGAGGCACGAGTGTGTTTGTGTTGCCCATTGGATGGTCACATCGGTTGTCTGATGACCTGTACATATGTAGTTACATACATACCAGCGCGGACCAATGATGACCGTATTCATGTAGCCGCTGACGACTACGAAGGAAGCTCCGAGGATGTTTAAATCTTTGGGCGCCAGGATAGGCACCTGGGGCTATGTTTTCCGGTGATCCTGGAAAGGCAAATGATGCCCAGTTCGCAATTATTTTGGACCCAACTCTATGACAGTAAGCCCTACTTATAACTGTAGCTGTCATTTTTATTTTGTTTTAACATTTGTATTCTTGCCTATTAGGCCGGATTTCCTGGTAGTTGATAATTAATCGGCGCTCACCTTCGTATCGCCTTCGTATCCTAAGCCTCGACAATCACTGGGACTTTCTCCAATACCCAGCTGCGACAGGACTCCTGACCGTCCCCTCTCAGATGCGACAATAACTCGGACTTTTTCATCTCTCCATCTGCGGGGCAAAAAATCTGTTCCTGATACCGGCATCGCTCAGCCGGCGGCCGCGGCTGATGACGGTATGAGCCGGACCCCTGCGGTGAGGGCCATCTCGATCACGCAGTCCGTGGCGCGATTGCGGCGAATGCAGCGACGCTCCGCTGGGCTGTTCAAGTTTACCGAACACGTGTGGCGACGAGCGCTGTTTATGACGTTTGTATGTAATATGCTGTAAGCAGAGCTGCTACTGACTAGACGGGAGGAATTTATTGTTATATGTTATAGAAATGTTGAATTTATTCCATTATTTAGAGCGCTGTGGGGATAGTCGGAAACAAGTCAATGCTCAACAGACGGAAAGTGCGCTGTAAAAAACTTCTTACTAATTTGCTAGTCATCCGGCCACTTTTCACTAACAAAATGCGAGTAGACTCTAAGTGTACTCGCATCTTGTTAGTGAAAAGTGGCCGGATAACTAGGAAATTAGTAAAGCATTTGTACAGTGTGGAGAAGTCAGCTATGCTATCCGGTCCACCTAGGGAGACCTATTTTTTCGTTACCCGGAATTACGCAATCGGACGGTAAGGGGCGGAGTCAACGCAACAAGCTCTGCTTAGCGTGGCCTCTGGCTTTTCCAACCTGTCCATTCAAACATTAAGGTAAGCCAAAATTATTTTAAAAACGTGCAGGTGTAGCCAAATGATGCAGGAATATTCATTAACTTCGATATTTAAGACATTCTTAAGTGATTGATATTGGGACTGAGATGTATGATAAAACCGTTGGTGACAGCTCCATGGGTCTCTTAGTTGCCACCATTCTACACAACTGTCCCCCATTCCAACCTGCTAGCTGCCCACGGAGACTGCCGCATCCAGCTGCCTGACCGAGGCCGGGCCTGTCGTCAAGGCGCCGACGTACGGGGATAATTACCGGGGAAGGGGAGGGGCCGCGCCGACTGCGCCTCGAAATAGACGGGAAATGGGCTCGGACTGGCGGTTAGGAATTGATTGGAGCACAATAACAACAAACGTAGGAACGGGGTAGAGACGGCCGGCATTCGGTAGGGCATTTTTCTTTACATGAGCGAAATGGGACGAATTTATGGCTCAGCATTTGTTCTTCTATCGCTTCTTATATTCATTTTTCCAAACATCTTACCAGAGATGCCGGTTTTTCACATCACCTCGGGCCTCTCACATCGTTCTGATTTTAAATACGGCACATCTTTGTCCTCACATCTCACTTCTCAGACAACCTTTCAGCTCGTTCTCACCTTCCCACACCTCATCCTGTGACCTCTGGACGTCTCACCGTTGTCTGACGCCGGTTTTTTACAGACATCCAGGAGTACTACGAGCTGACGCTGGTGGACGGAGCCGGGTCGGCGGTGACTGAGACGACACCGGCCAGCCGCAGATGGGGCGACGGCAGCGGCGGCGAGCCGATCCCAGTGAGACACGGGCGCTCACCGCTCCTGGCCGGACAGGTGGGTCGCTCGGCAGTCGCCGGACACCTGAGTGTAGAGGTTACCTAAAGGGACGGTTATTTCCCCCATCAAACGGGTAGGTCGCTCGACAGTCGCCGGACGCATGCGTGCTGAGTGTAGAGGTCACCCCAACGTACCAGTGGACCTAGAACACTGGACAGTTGGTTCTTTATCACATGGTAGTGCCACTCCACTGCCTGCCAACGGGAAAGTAGTTCGCTGCTGCTCTCTAACGTGCATACCTTCGTGTTTTTGCACTGCGCCGCCCTTTTTGGCTGATGCCTGATGGCTGAGCTGACGACAGTGGCAATGCGATATCGGGCTGCCACCAGCAGTCAACGGGTTGAGTTTGAAGTATCCATCAAAGCTGAGACATCACTCATAGGGTGACGTTCTGCTCTGGTCTACGATCTGGCACCACTGACCGGAGTGCGCGCCTACTGCCACCTACCGGCGATGTTCCGCAATTATAGTGGCCTGTTTCGCCGCTTGTAGGGTTCAGTACGCTGGGCGCTGGATCGGTGTCTGCCCAGTCTGCCTCTGCTGGTTTTAGATTAGGCATTTTCTTTTCCGTCACTTTTCGGCGATTTATTATATGCCCATACCGCCATGCTGGGTGATTTCAGTATTAACTATTGATTTCATTTCTAACGGCGCTCTTTTTGTTTTGAAATTTTAAATTTCCTAGTTTACCTATCATGTAGTTGTAACATTTTAACGTTACAGATTTAAATGATATACTCCAGGTGTAGGTACACAAATTTAATTACACTACTTGTAGTGCTGTGTTTTTCTGACATCGGCTTAGGTGGCCTTTTCCGTTTTTCGTCTTCGGAACTGAACTCGTCAGGCGGCAGCTCCCTGTTGATAAAGCTGTGTCAGTGGCAGCTGGCAGTTCCTACTAGTAGTTCATAGAGCTGTCTGTCAGTGGCAGTTCCTAGTTCATAGAGCTGTCTGTCAAAGGTAGTTCCTAGTTCATAAAATTGTCTTCAACAACTTATATAGTTGTTGTGTTATATAGTTGTCTTCAACAACTATATGAGAGCTGTATGCTCAAATAGTTCAAAGAGCTGCCTGCCAATGACAGCTCTCTGTTCACAGAGCTGTCTGTCAGTGGCAGCTCCGTGCATTATGACTGTCTGTCAAATGTAAGCTGTCACAGACAACTCGCAGTTCGTAGAAAAGTCTGTTCACCGCCTACGACGGAGTTGTCTGTTGGCCTGACCCCGTTCGATGACAGTTCCCAATCTGCCGAACAATCCTAATCGGTGACATTTCGCAAAGTTCGATTCGTCACGCAGGACGATCGGCTGTCCCTGACAGTTGACACCCTGGCCTGGCGTCAGTGGGCGACCATAATCACTGTCACAGAGCAGACAGGTAGTTTGCTTGGCAGGCACCTAAGTAGTTAGGGGCCGCCCAGTCAGGTCCGGGAGTACCGGCAGCCACCAGAAGGTCGTCCTCTTTTGTCCCACCTATGGTCCAACTAACCCAATTTAAAATATCGCACTGTTTTATGTAATTCGCGAACGAGCTTGTGTTAGTAAAATTTTTGGTCAGGCTTTTCGTATTAGGAGGCCAGGAGTAGAGAAAAATGGCGCAGTGGTCTAAGAAGAGGCGAGAAAGTGACGGGGATTCCAAACGGGGCATTTCTATTTGCAAACTGAAAATGAAATTTATAATTTCAAACACCAGCCCATGAGAAGGATGTAGGGGGGGGGGGGAGGACAGGGGAGTGTGTTTTCCTGATTTTTAAAGTGGGAAAAAGAAATCAACTTATTGAGAACATGAATTTTTGTTAACCCGCGCCCCACTGGGGGGGGGGGGGGCTATTTATAGCCCCACCTCCCGTTTTTCTGCAATAACTTCCAAACCGCTTGACGTATCGACGCCAAACTTTCAGTACCTTCGGCTGCATCAATTTGACACCTTGTGTCAAAATTTGAATTTCGTACCTACCATAGGTCGGCCGGAAATGACGTCAGAGTGACGTCATGTTCGGCCGATTTCGACGCAAAACATTGAACCACGGTAATCGCTCCCAAGAGCTCAGTTTTTAAGCTAGATCCAATTTCTTTGCATGAGAGGGCTCAGAATAGACTGCGCTATCAAACTGCTATCTCGGATTTTCGAAATTTTTGAAAATTTCGAAAATTTTATATAATAAAATTCAAAATTTATATTTTTACATTTTTTTCAATTTCTTTTTTGACTTTTCGAAAAAAAACCCGGAATATATGTGATAGAACGCATTATAATGACTAACTCTAGCAAGTTTTAGCTAAATATCTTCAAAAATGGCCAAGTTATACGCATTATTGCAAAAAATTAACAATTATTAATTTTTCAAATGAATTTTTCAGCACGAATTTGACATCGTACGCCAATATAAATAGCACCATCGTGTTCCTGAGCTCAAACTGCATCTAATAGACACCTTTTTTGTTGAAAAATTATAACTTCAAAATTTGACCTTTTTTGACCTGAAAGTGACCTGACCTAAGCTAAATTTGACTCAAAATGACCTCGAATGACACAGACGACATCAAATTCGAAATGTTTGGCCTAAATGGACCATAAAACATGTGTCACGTGACCGACGGATGATATAATATTTTCGTGACCTGTGATGACCTGACCTTGACCTGAAAATCAAAGTACAAGTTTGGTACCGTCAGAGTATCTAGAGCATCTGTTCACGAGTGTGTGAACCAAAAATGAGCCTGATTTGACTTGTAAGACGGCGGCCAGAGCCCAAAACGTGAAGAAGCCAAAATGCTAATAATTTTTACTTTGACCTGACCTGTGGCGTCATCGGTGACCTCGAGGTCAATGAAATTAGGTTTCGCTCGACAGTTTTTCCGGGGCTATCAGACGCCGTTTGAATTTTGACGATCGGCCCAGTAGTTTCGGAGTTAGGAGGGGGGGGGGCTATGAATAGCCCCCCCCCCAGTAGGGCGTGTTATACGCAGACCCCAGTGGGGCGCGGGTTAAGTGCTTTTAGGATTTCCTGCCGCATTCACGCAGTCTATATCCGGGCTATATCAATAAAAATTGGCTCGATTGCCGATCGCCCCACTGCAACCAAAATGTAAATGTATCTAATTAGCTGCACCTGTCTGCTTTATGACAGGGCACAGCGCAATACGAATGGGTGGTAAATGTCAGAGAAGAATGGCGTAGATCCGATGCGTTCAGCCGCGGCGTCACTACTGACGGGCGGTGGATCAGCCGACCGCTCCTGTCCGACCCAATCACTGCCGCTGACCGCAGCTGAATGTCGCCGCCGCTCATCACGGAACAGGCGACTCGTCAGCCATGGCCCCTACGCTGACGGCCCACCCACCAGTGACATTTCTGCGTGCTGCATGACGCCTATATGAAGCTCGGTTTGATGCGGCGGTTATCAGAGGTGGACGGCGACCGGCGCCAGCTGCTGTCCAGTGTCCCACCATGGCGCGCCTGCCGCTGCTCGTGCTGCTCGCCTGCTGGGCCGGCCTGCTGACCGGCTCACGCGGTTGTCAGCTGGAGCACGTAGATCAGCTCAAACCCTGCGCGCAGAAGGTTCTCAACCAGTATCGGCCATACCTGAGGGCTCGCTTCGACCCGCTGCGGCTCCCTGACCAGTCTGGCGGCAACAGAAAACTGCGATACTGGCTGTGGAACATTCGTGTTCTGGGTGCCTCAGAAATCCAGATCAGGCAATTGAAAGTCCTCCCTATTGGCAAGAACAAGGTGTTCATCATCATATCCGTATATTGGCCACACCTGAGAGCAGAGATGAACGGCAAGGGCAAGGCGTGCAAGAAGGTTCTCTTCAAGAGGCGATGTGCCACGGCGCGAGCCCGGCCGCGCATCAGCGTACGTGACGCGAGCGCCACCCTGACCACCGTTTGGTCGGTAGCTGCAAAAAAAGACAGGTTCTTCATTGTGCCCTCCCGCACCAAAGTCGCTATTCGTCTGGGCAAAATTCACGTCAATCCGAAGTTCAAAGGCTTCATCGGCTTCCTTTCGCGGATTCTCGGTGGCCTCGGTAAGCGAATTTTCAGCAGGGAGGTACGCAAATGGTGGAGAAAAAGCAGACCGAGCATCGAGGCTAAGCTGTCAAGGAATGTTGAGGAGCTTATTAACAAACATTTCGGCCCGAGTCTTTCGAAGGTGTTGCGAGGAAAGGTTCCTCCGGTGGTGGTTCGTCCGCCTCGTCCTCCCCCGAAGACGAGGAGACCTTCTCCGATCCCCATAAGGGACCCGTGCCTGAAGCGGTCGAGGCACAGACCCGGGCTGGGACTGGGAGGAAGAACAGCCCCGATTGCGACGATATGCTAACCAGTTTACCGGCAGGTGCTGCTGTGCTGTGGCTGTAAGTTACATGGCTCGCTGCTCGCTGTGTAGACTGTTTGTGGTTCTTTGTCTGTTTGACATCCGAACACCAGCAGTCGTGACAATAAATGCGGTCTACGTGGTAAACAAGGCTCGCACCCAGTATACTAGCTTAGAATCGTGTGTTGCTTTTTCATAGATAACATTCAGATCGTGGCTCTTTCATAGACGAAATCATTTTTAATATCCTGAACTTTCTAAACCCGCGACCTGTTGCGAAGGGGAAGGAGTTTCACATCCCATTACGTGTTTTCGCAAATATCTGAGAACGGTGTTGTTTTTCATATATTTTTTTCTACTTTCAGGAATTGATGAATGGTGAGGGCAACAGTAGGGGAGGATTGGGAAAGATGCCCAGGGGGTTTGGAATGTCATGGATGACTCGAAAATGACGACAGGAAAGCAAAAACATGGATTTTCAACGGACGCTGACATCATTTTTCTCCACAAAATGTCTTACTTTCGTGTTTCAAATATGATAACTTTTTTGTTATTAATCATTTTCCTGAAGTAGTGCAAGGGGGCACCTTACCCTAGAGGGTGGGGAAGACTCCCCCTCACGTTGGGTAAGATGCCCCTCCGGCCTCCGCACTTTAAGTGACATAAACGGGCAAGTGAAT